AAGCCGGTTGCAATGTATCGGAGGTTGGAAGCTGCTACTTAGCTGCCGAAAATTCTTGCCGTTGCTGGTAAGGACACCTGAAGATGATGACAAACCGTCAAAATTTTGTGCCTGATTGTGCATGGATGCAGATCGGCCTGCTCTGCGGAACTGACACCCCTGATGCCACCAGCACATAGATCAACATCTGAGTGGCACATTACCGCCTGGCAGTCCTGCGCCCGAAAGGCAGCTGAGGTCAAGCTTCTCGGCCATGTTGCTCTCTGCATTGTTTGCTGCTCTGAGATGCTTACAAGGCAACGTTGACAAACTTCATTTGCCTTGTGAAGAGTAGTGCTCCTGTAGCCACGATGGTAAAACACGCCGCGAGGGCTTATCAGCAACATCTTGCTATCAAATTTGGCAAGGCTGCACACTTCTGGCAATACTTTCAACCGGCGGGAATTGGTGGCATAAGCCCGTTGCAATGTATCGGAGGTTGGAAGCTGCTTCTTAGCTGCCGAAAATTCTTGCCGTTGCTGGTGAGGACACCTGAAGATGATGACAAACCGTCAAAGAGCAGCTCCGCTGACTGGTATCACTGGCCGAGGAGAGCCCAGTCGAGTGGGTTCGGTGTGCTTTGCGAACCGTTCGACAGGCGCCAGCTTTGGAGCAGGCCCTTAGATGCAGCTGAGGCTGAAGCCCAGCTTCTTGTAGCCGGGGGGAGTGCTACACGGCATCGGTTGTTGGTGGGACTTATCCAGGTACCGGAAAACATGTCACGATGTTGTCAAACTGTGTGGTAAATTTTCTGCCTGATTGTGCATGGATGCAGATCGGCCTGCTCTGCGGAACTGACACCCCTGATGCCACCAGCACATAGATCAACATCTGAGTGTCACATTACCGCCTGGCAGTCCTGCGCCCGAAAGGCAGCTGAGGTCAAGCTTCTCGGCCATGTTGCTCTCTGCATTGTTTGCTGCCTTGAGATGCTTATAAGGCAACGTTGACAAACTTCACTTGTCTTGTGAAGAGTAGTGCTCCTGTAGCCACGATGGTAAAACACGCCGCGAGGGCTTCTCAGCAACATCTTGCCATCAACTTTGGCAAGGCTGCACACTTCTGGCAATACTTTCAACTGGCGGGAATGCCCAGGAACTTCAGCAACAACACGCAGTACACTACCGAAAAACAAACACCTCCATTGCTTCTGAAATCGATTGTCCCGGAGTCTGCGCTGCTACTGAGCTGTGCAAGCTCTTTGAAGACAGTATGACACTGTGTTGGTGGACGAACGCCCAGGATAAGCAGTGCACATCGACGATGGGACCCTGTCCACAATGCTCACGCTCAGGGCCGTGACTGGAGCTGGCACAAATCTCCCGAATGGATTGGAGAAGTGCTACCGCCAGCACGAACTCTGGACTTGGCAGACATGGGATACTCATTCTATCTCCCGAATGCCTGAAACTTAAAGTGCTGCGTAGGGCACTGTCTGGCATTGGTGTTGAGCAAAGAAAGGAAAGCCCCAGCAACATCTTGCAAGTCACCGGGTCTCCCGGCAAAACGCAGCTACTGTGCAGCGAAGATGCAGAACGCAAGCATGACCCAAGTCCTGTGCTGTGTCCCTGAATCTGCGCAAGGATACAGTCTACCTGGCGACAATGGTGCTTCCTGCAGGAGCACCGGCATGCATTCCACCACACACAAACATGATATCGCGGTTCACATCGTCAGGCATCATCAACTTGTCTAGCATGTCTAGTACTAGGAAGCATACATGTGATCAGAAAGTCTGCAGTGCCAACACAAGTGCCACGTGGATGGGTGAGAAAGAACCATGCAGAAAATCACACCGTCCTTCTTCTGATTCCACCGCGAAGGTTCGCATGAAATACCTGAAAGCTCGCTTCAGCTGAGGCTGTGTTGCGGCACTTGGTGGGGCCTCGAGCTCGTCCATCTCATGCAGAAAATTCGGCACTGCCCTTCACGCACTGGTCCATGTGCAACCTCGCAGACCCTACCCAAAGCTCCTTGTAACGCTCGCTGCATTGCCTTCAAGCGAGATCACTTGCAGTAGGACCCCTTGAAAACTGGTTTCAGTTGAAGCCGTGTTGCTGCATCTTGCGGAGAAGCTGCTTCAAACCTGCCCCACACCTTGGAAGAGTGACCCCTGTGCAACCACCGAATTCGAGCCCCTGAAATCGTGCACTTGCATGTGTTGCGCTCGTTTGCAGTCACTGTTTGACTGCTCTGTGTCCTTCTAGTCGCACTCACACCTTCTTGCCTAACTTGCAGCTCAGACCGGCATCTACTTGCCAGAGCTTGCGGCATTGCCTTTATGCGAGGTCGTTTGCAGTAGGACCCCTTGAAAACGGGTTTCAGTCGAAGCCGTGTTGCTGCCTTTAGGGGCATGTCGCCTATGCAACCACCAAATTCGAGCCCCTGAATTTGCGCACTTGCCTGCGCTGCGTTAGTGTGCGGTCACTGTTTGACTGCGCCGTGTCCTTCTGGTCGCACTCAGACCTTCATGTCCAACTTGCAGCTCAGATGATGCCGGCATCTACTTGCCTGCTAAGGTGTTTGCTTCAAGGGCACCTGATGCCTCCACAACCCAGAACAGTGCTGTGGCAAGGTACTTGGGGCGACTGCGAGCCCATCAAACAAAAACATAGCACTTTATCAAACGTCTGCAGTGCCGAGACCAGTACTAGGTGGGTGGGTGCGTCCGGCAGCCTCAAACAGAGTCAATTGCGAGAAGCATCTTGCAGCAAGTCACCCAGTCTTCCTGCACGGTGACAGGTACTCTGCGAGCTTGCGCAACAGAAGCAATGCCAGCCAAGTTCTGATGCGTGCGCTGAGGGCACGGAGGGCACTGTGTGGCAGTGATGGGAACTCGGAGACGACCTTGAAGGAGTCCTCTGCCACAAAAGGTGCAAAAAGCTCCTTGTAACGCTCGCTGCATTGCCTTCAAGCGAGATCGCTTGCAGTAGGACCCCTTGAAAACTGGTTTCAGTTGATGCCTTTTTGTGAGAAACTGCTTCAGGCCTGCCCCAAACCCTGATCCCGGTATATGCAACCATTGAGTTGGAGCTGCTGACAGCGTGCACTTGCCTGTGTTGCGTTCGTGTGCGGTCACTCTGCGACTCCGCTGTGTCCATCGCGCACTCAGACCTACTTGCCCAACTTCCAGCTGAGGTGAGGCGCTCGACGGCATCTACTTGCCCGCAAACGTGTTTGCTGCAAGGGCACCTGATGCCTGTCGCGATGCAGGCTATGGGCCAGCCCTTGCAGCTTGAACCAGCTCCGCATGGACACTCTGTTGCAACCAGGTGGGCCTGTTTTCTGCACTTCCCCATCGCCGAAGGGCTGCATGTCCAGAGTGCTTGGAATGACTTGTGGCCTGGCCTCCTTGCTTAGCATTATCCCTATCGGCCCTATCGTCAAAACTTCGGCCAGTGGACCTCACCAACACCAACTGACCCTCTGCGGATGGTCCGGAATTTCAGCGTCAAACGTCTCTTAGCCGGTTGCATCTCGTTGCCATCCCTGAAGAGACACCGGGTAAGCGGTGCCTGTGAAGCAAGGGCAGCAAAGGTCTCAGGAACGTTGGCATGACTTGGCACTCAGATGTGGCTGCCAGTCGAGTCGTGCACGGGCAAGCCTGCTCTGAACATTTTGGGGCGCTTGACAAAGCCAAGCGTCTGCATGCCGAGATTCAGTGCGAGAGCTCCAACTTTTGAAACAGACTGCGGGTCATGGTCCTGCGGCGAAAGCCAAAACCACAAACTAACGGTTCTTGTTTGGAAGCCGGCACCGGAACGGTGCCAGCAAAACAGCCATAGGGTGTGCTAATTTCCTCTGGGCCGAGTCGTGGCCGGTGTGTTCACAGCTCGCCGCCTGCGGCACGACTAGGCTTGTGCATTCGAGGTCTTACTTCGGAGCGCAAGCACTTCTCCCTTCGAGCTGCGTCGTGTGAGGAGGGGGGGTGGTTGAGGTCAGCAGCCGCTGGACATCACGGCAGTCTCGCGCTCAGACCAGCCGCCGGATTATTGCCTCGGCTGAAAATGGCGGTCCGGAAGAGTCAGAACCCCTTTGAAGTTGCGGGACATTTGGTGCTCTGAGTGCGTGCTTGTAAGATGGAAGCCAGCCGACCCGAAAACACAGAGCACATGATCGAAATGCTTCCGCCTTGACCTTGCACCAACCGTTCCGATTCGAGCATGAAGCCAGCCACTACAGGATCTGCAGGTGCAGAAACCGTTGTTCTAGGGGCGGTGTCTTGAAGGCCACGAGCCTGTGACTCAGAGATCCCGGAAGCCGCTCTCTGCAGCCCGGCGCTGCTTGGAAGGCGCCAATGCGAAGTTCTTATGCTGACATGCCTTGCTGTCGCTGGACTGAAGCGCCAGATCGCCATTATCACTGCCTGTCTGCGAATCTTCGAGCTCAGGACAAGTTTTCTGCAGGGGGCTTTTGCCGACCTCCCTGCCGCTGAGCACACACGAGCAATGACTCGTTTTTTGCAAGAAGAATCGTCGCAGCACAGCCGGCGTGGAAACCCGCCAATTTCTGCATTACGTCATGTCGTTGCGCTTGCAGTAGAGCTCACCTACACGATGCTCATGAGCTACTCATGCTTCATATCCGACCAGAGAACAAGGGGCTGGGCAATCTTTACCGAATGTATGGCTCCTACCTCCGAACATGTTGCAGTCCTTGCCATCATTCCACTTGTGTACGACCTTTAGCCGACGCAAGAGCCACACAGTGTAGCCTCAGAGCTGTCTCCCCAGGACCCACGAAGCAAGACCAGCGTCTTCCTCCCCGGCAGCCAAGTCGGCTTGCTGCGAACCTCCATCTACAAAGCTTCTGGCTTGGGTCTGGGTGACAACGGGAAATGGCTTCATGTTGCAGTGAAGGATTACGCACTGCCCAGCCGAGCCCAACCCCTTCCTCGAACGACCCTCATCTGGAAGAGCACAGCGCTTCCCCATTGACTGTCTCAATGCTGGCGTCTGCATAGCTAAGCCACGACCGCAGTTGTGCAAAGATCTGGCAAAAAAGCAAGATCTCATGCACTACAGTGTTACTACAGTGTCCGCTCACCTTGTGGACAAAGTAGCGTGCTGCCATGCTGCGCCGGCACATGACGAAGCATAACTTATTCTTTGGCTGTGCTCGCCAAGCTGGGGCAGACTCAATCATGCAGAGGGCCATGTCATGAGCCAGTGCTGCCTCCGAGCGGGGGAGCATGGTCGTGTTCAACTCGGGTCTCGCACAAGAGATGCAGCAGCATAAGTCTAATCCAGCACCGCGCGGGATGTCTGACTATTGCAGCATTGCATCCTTGTGTGAGAAGCTTGACCGGCACCGCTTGGGAAGGCGCCAATGCGAAGTTCTTATGCTGACATGCCTTGCTGTCGCTGGACTGAAGCGCCAGATCGCCATTATCACTGCCTGTCTGCGAATCTTCGAGCTCAGGACAAGTTTTCTGCAGGGGGCTTTTGCCGACCTCCCTGCCGCTGAGCACACACGAGCAATGACTCGTTTTTTGCAAGAAGACTCGTCGCAGCACAGCCGGCGTGGAAACCCGCCAATTTCTGCATTACATCATGAGGTCAGAATAGTGGCATGTGGACTCGTTGCTCTTGCAGTAGAGCTCACCTGCACGATGCTGGTGCACTCGTGCTTTGCAGCTGCGACCTTCACACCCTATCGAAAGTGAAGGGGGTATTGAGTCATAGTTATGGCAGCTTGAGGACATGCTGTCAAACACACGTGCGACTCCGGCTGATTACGCTGCAAGCTTTTGATTGATCGCAGCGCACGAGCTAGGGCAAAAATGGCCAAAGCGGCAGTTTGGCATCACAACGACAGGCATGCCTCCTTCAGTGCCCTCCCATCATGGTACGACTTATAGCACAAAGTCATGCTCAAGCTTGTTCCTGGGCTTTGGCGATCTTTGGTTCTTGTCACCGCGAAGCTCCAAGCTGGTGAGTGATTGCCAGGGCCTTCAGGTGTTGCCGGCCCATCGATTTCCAAACTATTTCTGCTGGGCGTAGCTGGCGGATAGTGATCCCAATCAACCGTGACGAGTTGATCTGGTTCGCAGCTTGGCGAGGGCATTTGTCTGCTTCAGCGCTGAAGGCCGCACACACAACAGCAGCTGAGGGGAGGAAGGCTGGTGCAGATATTGGACTGTGCACACAAGCTGTTGATCTGCTGCTGTCTGAGACGCAGTGATTCCTGTGCAAATTTGCTGGCGACCAACCCGATTAAGGGACTTGATGCCACGACTTGCCACGCACTTCGGCTGGTTACTACTGCCGCTAGATAGCCTCACGGACTTGCATTTCCGCTGGCCGTGGCTGCTGGCAGACTGTCACCCAAATCAACTGTGGTCGACGAGCTGATCTGCTTCGAAACCCGGCAATGCCCTGCAAATTGGCCGGTACGTCAGCCTCGAAGGCGGCATGCAACAGAACAGTCCGTGGCACGAGATAAGACCTGGCTGCAACTTAGAAGCTGAAGGTGCACAAGACGATAGCATTTTCATTGACACTTTTGCTTTGCAGATGCTCTTCGGGCTTTCAAGGCATGTGGCACAGTCAGCATGGCAGTCGTCGCAGGGCAGCTGTCGATGGCAGATGCACGCGGGTAGCAGAGCGCCCACAAGCCACAGAGCTTTCTGTGGGACTGGCTGTGCAACTCAGCATCCAGCTCTGCCACAGCTCCTACCGAAAGCTGTGAGACTTGCAGCACGTAGAAGTTGTGCTTAAGCTTGCGTGTGTGTGAGTTCGATGATCGCATGTCAATGATTCAACACGGGCAGAGGAGCATGGCTGCCTTATCTTTGCCTATCGCCACGAAGGTCCAAGGAAGGATCGAAGTGATCGTCGGATACTCACACGCTCTGTCCTTGTCCGATTAATCCCTGCAGCTACGCCGGAACTACAAGGGCGACATAATGCACACCGAGCTGCTTGGGCCCGTCAGCTGTGATCGACGAGCTGATCTGCTTCGAAACCCGGCAATGCCCTGCAAATTGGCCGGTACGTCAGCCTCGAAGGCGGCATGCAACAGAACAGTCCGTGGCACGAGATAAGACCTGGCTGCAACTTAGAAGCTGAAGGTGCACAAGACGGTAGCATTTTCATTGACACTTTTGCTTTGCAAATGCTCTTCGAGTTTTCAAGGAATAGAGGAAGTGTTGGATCCGTGTTCGGCACTGCATGCGACAGGAGACACAGAACACCTTGGCGAGCCTGCTGCAAAAAAACGCACCTAACCCAGGATGCATTTGGCTGACTGCAACGTCCCCTTAAACTGTGGCAGGACTTGTTGTTGGCCGTCTTCCAATCCGTGCTATTGTGGGTTGCTGCAAGATACCCTTGGACCGCGGAGGCGACAGGTCCAAAACATCTGCAAGCTGCCCGGCAGCATGCTTTCTCGACTGTTCTTGCCATGTACTTGTGCGGCAGCGTGTTGGGCTTTGTGCGACTTCCTTCGTTAATCATGACAGAATCCCGGCGACCAGCGTCATGTGGGCATGGCCCTTGGTGAAGCGAAGGCTCGCACGAGGCGCTGCCCCCCCGAGTGGATGGCGTTGCCCTGGCTGGGCCACCGGAAGCTCTTTTTCAAAGTCGGCCTGACGAAGCTCTCACTCGAAAAAACGTCGCCGCAGCATCTTTCAGGGCTTCTAGAAACTGCATGTGGAAATTTCCCACCCAAAACACGGGGCAAAGAGCGCGAAGAGAGCTGCCTACACTAGGCGGTGACCTTTAGCCGTCGGCGTCGGCAGCCAGCCTTTCCTAGG